GGTCCCCACTGGGGTGCCTGGCCAGTCTGGCTGAGGGGCTGAGGGCCGTTTTCAGGCTGGCAGGTGACTGAAGCTCCCAACCGCTCCTTTTTTTCTTTTTTCTTTTTAATTCTGGGCCAGCTTTAGCTCTGAGGCCTCGGCTGCTGAAAGCAGGTTTCTGGCCTTTGTTTACCTTCTTTTATTTGATACAATGTTGCAGTCCGGCTGGCTGAAGCCCAGCTGAGTAAAGCAGGTTTCTGGGGTTTTGTTCAGCTTCTATATTTGCAACATAGTTGATTAGAGTTGCAGCTGAGAGGCCGGCAAGTCAGGCGGGGAACGTTGGAGTCCGCAGTCACTGGAGCAAGCAAGCCTCCCTGTTCACTTCAGTGCATGGCTGCCAGCCGCCATCTTGGCTGGCAGTTAATTTCATATCTCCCTGATTAGCCAATGGGAAGGGTAGCGGATGTACGGCTAATTACCATGTTTCTCTTTTATTAGATAGGATTCTCTATAATGATGTAAGCTGTCACTATAATTCCCTGTATATCCTTCTAGGGCTTTAGTGGGAGAGGTTTTAATGTCTAGTAACTCTGTTCCTGAAAATAAGGCATATTTTGTCATGTGATTGAAAACAAGTCTAGCATTGTCCACTAACCCAGGTCCAATGTCAACAACATACAAGGAAATTTAACAGCACATGGAAAGGATCATTTACCATGATCAAGTGGGATATAGTCTTAGAATGCAAGGACAGTTCAACATATGAAAACCAGTCAATGTGCTACAGCTCATTCACAGAATGAAGGACAAATATATACCTATATATCATCATATAAACAGATATAAAAAAGAAAAAAAATATTTTAAATATCTAGAATAATTTCATGACTAAAGTGTAAATAATTTAGTAATACAAGGTATGTATTGCAACATTACAAAGGCCACATTAAAGAAGTCAACAAGAAACACAATACTAAACTGAGAAAATTGAACGTTATTCTTCTAATATCAGGGAGAACACAGGAGTATCCACTGTGACTAATTCTATTCTATAAAACCAGAAGTGCTTGTCAAAATATTAGGCAATAAAAAATATATAAGATAAAAACAAGTTAATATGTTGCCCTTTATCTCTATGCAGATGAAATGATCTTGTACATAGAAAACCCTAAAAACTGCACTAGAAAACTGATGAAACTAGAAAGTAAACTCGGGAATGATATAAGGTGCAAAACCAACACAAAAATGACTTGTGACCCTAAACACTCTCAGCAAAGTGTCTTCATGACTCTAGGAAATATGTAAGACTGTTTCACAGGAAAGTGAGGAAAGAGAACTTGAAGTGGATAAACAACAAGGAGATCACAACCTAATGAAACAAGAACCCTGGACATGTGTGTCCTCAGTCTTGGTTAATCCCCATTTATGTTCCCAGGTAGCTTTCCCCCATGTGGCATACAGTCAGGTACAAGATCCAGTTAACACCCATCATGAGGAGACACGGTGACAGTGGTCCCAAGTGTCAATTGCAGACATCAGCTTTCCAAGAACAACATTTATCTTACCTAAACTGAATTATTCCTAAATCATCATCCACATCTTCCCCTAAGCACACCTTGTAAAAACTGAGATTCTTCTATATCCCAAGGTATGAAACAGAATCTACAACAGAGGCTAAAGAATCAACACAGCAAAGGTGGCAGTGAAGCTGCTACACATCCAGCACCAAACCCCCTAAAGCAGTGGTTCTCAACCTTCCTAATGCCACAACCATTTAATACAGTTCCTCATGTTGTAGTGACCCCCAATCAT